CTTCCAAGTGCCCTGGGTCTGGGAGGGAAGGACTCACGAGTACCTGGGGAGCTGCAGATGTTCTGGGAGCTCATGCTGCCACCTGTACCAAGGGACAGAGAGGGATTTGCTGAGAAAAGCAGTGTCCAGGCTCTTCCTGATGCCCCTGCCCACATCCTCACTGCTAAGCAGGCATCATCACACCTGCATGTTCTCATGCTGTTCCTCTTCAATATCCCCTCAAAGAATACCACTTCCAATCCCATTTTGTGTGGATTTCTGATTCCAGGTAAGTCCCATAGCTCCGTAAAGACCTCAGCAGTCCTAGAGTCTGAGAGCAACACTCCAGACAATTTATGGTGCTGGAGAAGTGTGCCCCTTGCTCAGATGTGTTTTATACTTCGAGGAAGCCATCCCCATCCTGCCTTGCCCAGAGCAATGATGCCCCAAAATGCTGCACACCTGACCCACACACGCTGTCCCCATCCTCCCCTCTGCCCTCCACTGGCCTGTCCTGCTCCCAGAAATACTCCTCCAGCCCTCAGCCCCCACTCCCAGCAATGCTCCAACTCACAGAATGCCAGCAGCAGGATGGCAGAGCCAGAAGGAGACAGCCTTGCCCATGGCGCCTGCCACAGCATATTTTGGGGCACTGCTTTAGGGGAGCACCACTTCAGGTTTCTCCTTTGCTCAGAGCTGGGAACGGTGGGGCAGAGGCTTGCGGTTCAGCTGGGACCTGTCCTGTTAGCTTTCTGTGGTCACCTGAGCCTGGTCCACAGCCAGAGGCTCTCATCAGTGGGAGCCTTGCCTAAGAACCTGCTACATCCACTGCTTTGGTTGAGCCCCCACTGTTTTTTTCTGTCCTCTCACACACTGCAGCACACGCTAGTTTTACTTGTATCTCAGGGGCAACAATGTCCCTATAAAGAGCTCCTGCCCCTTGTCCCCACTTGGATTTGCTCTCTTCTGAACACATCACTCTGCTTCTCTTCAATGTTGAGACAAATGATGGCATCAGGGGAATCCTGCACCAAGGCCAAAGTGACGCCAGAGCTCTGGGACAGCTGCCAAGGCTGTGGGCAGAATTCTCCTTCATCCTGTTGGTGATTCAGCTTATGAAGAACTCTCAGGAAGTCTCAGCTAGGGCCGTACTGCTGGCAGCACAGCAGTGTGGGAGCCATCTGCACCCACACTTTGACCCTCATGCGACCACACAACAACCAGGAAAGGCAGAGGCTTCATCCTGAAAGCACCTGAGCTCTCCCGCACTGCTCTCTCAATTCCCTTCCTTGAAGGAAGGCGCTGAGCCAAGGGAATCAGAGCAGTGGCAGCACATCCCTTGGGCATGCTGCCTCAGCTGCCTTGAACCCAACAGCAGTGGGAGTCTGACAAATGTGTGGGGGTCATGCTCTGAGCATGGGGGAGCAGGCTGGGGACAGCATAAAGCGCAGAGGGACATCAGAGCTCCATGGGGACTGGGATGTCTCCAGGCTGTCTGGCCTCGCGGGCACCATGGCTGCATCTCTCCAGGAGGAGGGTGATGATGGGGGCAGACAGCAGCAGGAGCAGGCTGAGGGCAGAGCGCAGGATCCAGACCTCCAGGGGCATGGCTGAGCCTGGGAGAGAGGAGGAACACAGTGTGGCCAAGGCAAGCCTTGGAGGACGGCTGTGCTGGGAAGGGCTGATGAGCAATGTCTCACCTCTGGAAGGGAGCTGGGCGTTGTGTGAGGGGCTGCTGCCTGTGGGAGACATGAACATGCTGTGAGTTTATGGAGCTCTTTGCTGGGACAATCCCAGATGCTGAGCAGACCCTGAGCTCGTGTCTTGCTTCCTTGTGTACATGGTGAGCATTAACAACTGAGCTCATGTAAATTCCCAGACAGAGGTTAGTAAAAGTGTGAGGGAGAGCTTGGAGCAGTAGTGGTACAGGCCAGGGCCTACTGATATCTCCAACTCTTGATTTTTTTACATGGCCACTGCAGAGCCCCATGTCTCAGCAGAGGTGCTACTGCAGGTACAGGGGAACTCTTGAGGCAGTTCTCTCTCCAGGGTCTCCTGTGGAGTAGGGGGAACACTCCCGAGGGGGAATCACACCTGAGCCATGCCCTGTATGATGAAGCACACAGCTCCAGCTTCTGCACTGTCCACATCCCACTGACCCCACAGCCCTGATGAAGGGTCGTGTCTCACCTGGCACAGACAGGGTCCAAGGAGCACTGAAAGGAGGTGGCTCTTTTTACTGGCTGCTCTTAGCTTCACTGGCTGCTCTTGGCTTGGACTGGCGCACCCTACGTTGGGTTAGAAACTGGCTGGATAGCCGGGCCCAAAGAGCTGTGGTGAATGGAGTCAAGTCCAGTTGGAGGCCAGTCACTAGTGGTGTCCCCCAGGGCTCGGTGCTGGGGCCGGTCCTCTTTAATATCTTCATCAATGATCTGGACGAGGGCATTGAGTGCACCCTCAGTAAGTTCGCAGAGGACACCAAGCTATGCGCATGTGTCAATCTGCTCGAGGGTAGGAAAGCTCTGCAGGAGGATCTGGATAGGCTGGAACAACGGGCTGAGGTCAACTGCATGAAGTTCAACAAGGCCTAGTGCCGGGTCCTGCACCTGGGGCGCAATAACCCCAAGCAGAGCTACAGGCTGGGAGAGGAATGGTTGGAGAGCTGCCAGGCAGAGAAGGACCTGGGAGTGATAGTGGACAGTCAGCTGAATATGAGCCATCAGTGTGCTCAGGTGGCCAAGAAGGCCAACGGCATCCTGGCTTGTATCAGAAACAGTGTGACCAGCAGGGCTAGGGAAGTGATCGTCCCCCTGTACTCGGCTCTGGTGAAGCCCACCTCGGGTACTGTGTTCAGTTTTGGGCCCCTTGCTACAAGAAGGACATGGAGGTGCTTGAGCGGGTCCAGAGAAGGGCGATGAAGCTGGTGAGGGGCCTGGAGAACAAGTCCTACGAGGAGCGGCTGAAGGAGCTGGGCTTGTTCAGCCTGGAGAAGAGGAGGCTCAGGGGCGACCTTATCACTTTCTACAGATACCTTAAAGGAGGCTGTAGTGAAGTGGGGATTGGCCTGTTCTCCCACATGCCTGGTGACAGGACGAGGGGGAATGGGCTTAAGTTGCGCCAGGGGAGTTTAAGGTTAGATGTTAGGAAGAACTTCTTTACTGAAAGGGTTGTGAGGCACTGGAACGGGCTGCCCAGGGAGGTGGTGGAGTCACCATCCCTGGAAGTCTTCAAAAGACATTTAGATGTAGAGCTTAGGGATATGGTTTAGTGGGGACTGTTAGTGTTAGGTTAGAGGTTGGACTCGATGATCTTGAGGTCTCTTCCAACCTAGAAATTCTGTGATTCTGTGATTCTGTGAGAACACCCAAACTGACTGAGGACTGGCCATGAGGACACGGAGCATTCCCTTCATTCCCAGGGAAGTCTGTGGTCTATCAGAGCCTGGATCAGAGATATCACCAGGACACTTATCAGCCTGCTGTGCCTCACATACTACTATCTACTGACGATATTGCAGACAGCTGTGGAGGAAGCTGTGTCCTGTAGTCTGAGGGGAATGAAGAAAGACTTCAATGCCTTGGGACGGTTGGTAAAAAAGTCTGGAGCACAAGTCCCGTTCTCTTCCCTCCATCCATTCTGGGGTGGTGACATTGGATGGAATAGAAGGATCTGGTCCATAAATGCTTGGCTCTGTGACCTGTGCTACAGGCCCAGCTTTGGGTTATTTGGTAATGGCTGGTGTTATAAGACAGCAGGCCTGAGAGAAATACTTGGAAAAGGTTTATCTCACAGGGTCCAGAGTGTTCTGGTACAGCAATTAGCAGGGCTCTTTTTGAGAGCTTCAAGCTATATCCGCAGGATAATGGGCTTGTAGCAGGGCTTGTAGCAGTGGGGCAGCACCCCACAGAGATGTTCATCTGATTCGTGTCAATATGGAACAATGCTAGGGCCGCATGGTATGATGAATGTGACCTTCTGTCTTACATACACTTAAATAACCACAAGTCTAAGAAAAACAGAGTGGTTAATGTATAGAGTTCTTTTATATTGCAAAGGACCGGTCCAGCAATTCGTGTCAATAGAGAGCTAGAAGGGAAAGCTTTTAGGCTTTTCCTTGAAGTCTCTAATACGCCGAGGGGGGGGGGGTGGGGTGTAGAATAACTGCTAACTATTATGGCTGTTGCATGGGACACTATGCACGTCTCTGATACCTGCCCAGGAGATTAAGGAGAAGGGGAAAGCTGAAGGACAACTAAAAGACAAAGCTTGCAGGGGACGCTGCACAAGTCTCTGACATCCGGCCAAGTTGGACAAAGGAGAAGGACAAGAGGGAGGAAGACTAGGAGCCTTCAGCATGACAGACCCCCAGATTGACCTCCGGAGACTGATACGCATGCTCCAGTTGGAGGGTTTGGATTCTGGAAACTAATTATAATAACCCTGTTTTTTCAGAAGTAGTAATGAATATGTATTAGCCTAGAGCATAAAAATCATCTGCTTGATGTAACTGGTGTGTGTCTTGGTGGAGCAGAGACTGCCGGCGCACCCAGCGCTCTTTGCTTACCTCTATTCCTTTAATAAATTGTAAACTTTGATTATAGTCCTATTTTGAAGACTGAGCCATTTATTACAACAATAATAATAACAATAGTGGTGATAATAGTACCACTGGCTGGCAGAGGGGCTCAGGCTGCACAGCCTTGCACAAGCAACAAGAGTACAGGGGCTGAACATCGGCAGGGGATGCAGCAGTGGAAGGGACAGAAATATATTTGGGAGAAACTGTACATGCTTCCTAGCTTAATGGAGAGCTGCAAAACTACGAGACAAATCTGGCAAGGGGAAAAGGGACAGGAGGCCATGTAGGAAGAATACTGCCCTTGAGATGCAGATAAAAACAGCAAGAGTTGCGGTGTGTGAGAGGACAGAAATAACAGTGGGGGCTCAACAGAAGCAGCGGATGTAGCAGGGGCTGACATAGGTTACTCTTTGATGAGAGCCTCTGGCTGTGGGCAAGGCTCAGGCGGCCACAGCAAGCCCACAGGGCAGCTCCCTGCTGCACTGCAAGCCTCTGTCCCACCATCCCCAGCTCACAGCAAAGCAGACACCTGAAGCAGACGCTGCTCCCCAAAAGCAGTGCACCAAAAGATGCTGGGGCAGGCACCATGGGCAAGGCTGTCTCCTTCTGGTCCTGCCGTCCTGCTGCTGGCCCTCTGTGAGTTGGGGCATTGCTGGGTGTGGGGGCTGAGGTCTGGAGGGCTGCTGCTGGGGACAGGACAGGCCAGTGGTGGGCACAGGAGATGATAGGGGCAGTGTGTTGGGCAGGTGTGCAGCACTGTGGAGCAGACTTTGTTTGGGGGAAAACAGGAGGCTATGACCTCTCTAAGCAAAGCTCTCTCTGCCCCATGCTGCAGGTACTGGCGTGACCACCCAGGACATCTGCAGCTCTCCAGGATTTCGGGAGCATGGAGGTGGGTCACGAAAATGATCATGTCCTGGGGAAAGTGATGGGAAGAGAAAGGGGTTTATTCCCTCGCAGTTCCCCCTGGGAAGCCCCAGGAGAGCAGATTTTTCCAGCCTTGGCATGCAGTTGGTTTTGCCACCTGGCCATCACTACTGCTTGCCTGGGGAATACCTCTGCCTTCTCTCCAGGTAACAAGCAGGCTCCAGTCCTGTACCTCAACGCTTCCAGTGCCAAGGAGGGGGAAATAGTGTTGCTTCAATGTACCATTGATGAGCAGTTTCCTGCTACGCGAGTTGTCTTCTGCAAGAATGGGCTGGAGGAGTTCAGCCTGAAAGCCCAGCAGGGAAAGGTCATCTACACTATGGACTTGAGCATCACCTCCAGAAGTGCTGGGATGTACACGTGTGGGTACCAGCAAAAGAACAAGGAAAACTGGGTGAGGAACTCTGCTCTCAGTGCTCCCCGGACCTTGTCTGTGGCAGGTGAGACACGGCCCCATGGTGGTGAGGGTAGAAGGTTTTGGAAAACTGCTGAGGCTGGAGCTGTGTGCAGCAGCAGGCAGGGCATGGACTGGGGTGGTTCCCCCTCGGGAGTGTTCCCTCTCCTCAGAGGCAGCCCCTACAGAGAGAAAGCTGCTCTCAAGGGCTGTCCCCGTCCCTGCAGCACCACCTCGGCTGAGGCATGGGGCTGTGCAGTGCCCATGCAGAGAGGGCAAGAGCTAGGGATGTTGATCGACCCTGGTTTGAGCCTGGGATGTTCCAAGATCTGTCCTGTACGTTGATGAGCCTATGGCAGGGGAAGTGGTGTGATTGTCATGAGGCAGGCTATAGCCTGTACATCAGCAACAGTGTGGGATGGTTCCAGAAGGGAGAGCACAGTGGTGCTGATTTGAGACACAGAAAGGTGTCTGCTCAGCAAGAACAAACAGGAAGAAAAAGGACTTGGGTGTGGCGGTGTGCCAGGTCTTGGCCCCACTAAGAAAAACCCCTTTTGCCCCAAGGTGCAGGTGCTGGTGAGACCACCACTGATATCCAGAGCTCCCCAGGTGAAGACGAGCATGAGGGTGTTCCGGTTACATGGGCATGTCCTGCTCCCTGCCTCTCCCCATCACACCCCACTGCTTTCACACCCTCTGTCCCCCAGCTCCACATGCCCGGATTCTGCACACCCTCCCCACAGGCACGGTGCTGGCAGTGGCGGCCGTCGGCCTCGTCCTCCTGGCTGCAGGCAGCTGGTTTGCCATCAGGAAAGGTGAGGAGTGGGGAAAAAAGTGGGGAAAGGCTGAGGCGTTGGGGGTCCAGCTGCGGGGCTGGTGTAGTGGGAAAGTCGGAGGGGGGAACCGGTGGATGCACGGCTGGGGCAGACGGTGCCTGGGAGTGATGGCTGTGGGCAGCCCAGCTGGGGAGGCTGCTGAGGGAGCTGGGGAGCTTCAGCCTTCGTCCCCCAGCCCCGAGATGGGAGCCAGTGCTGGGCAACACCTTGGCCTGTGCACCTCAGCCCCTGTTCTTCTTGCAGGTGCCTGCAGAGGGAGATGCCCAAGGTGAGTACCAAGTGTTGCTGGCTGTGTGGTATGGGGGAGGGAGTTGGGGCATGACGGGGCCCTGGGGTGTTCTTTGGCCAGGGGCAGCGTTCTCTGTTTGTGTGTGGCTGCATTCCCTGTGCTGGAGGCAGGGAGAATGGAGCTTGCTATTTGCTGCACTCCAGTTCACCAAATGATGTTGGAAAGCTCGACCCAAGTGCGTTTCTCATGTGGCAACCTCACCACAAACACACACCCTAGAGCCATTCCATTCCTCTCCAGGCAGCAGCACGTTGACAGCCCACAGACGGAAGACACCAACTATGGTGACATCCAGTGTGAGTACTACCTCCTCCCTTGGGGGAAGCCACATGCTCCTCTCCCCATGAGAATCCTGTGCGAGCCCCCATGCAATCCCACTCCTTCATTTCCCACTGGGACATACAAAATCCCTGCCTATTCATCAAGGGACAGGTTTCTCTCCAGCACCTCACGTCCTGCTTCTTCCTTGTATGAACAGTCCGTGTGGGCTGCTGGCTGCACAAGGGACATGGCAGTATCCCAGTGCTCATAGGGACAAAGCCCATTTGCCTGGGGGGTCCTTCCACAGCTGCTGCAGCCCCAGGCTTCAATTCCCCTGCTTCAGCCTCTGCTTTTCTCCTTTCTTCACTTCTTCTACAAAGCGATTTCTGTTTTCATGCAGTTGAAAGTACACAGCAGCAATGAAAGATGTGGCTCTCTTTCCTTGTGTTTGTGGGGAAAGCCTTTTATAGTTTGCTTTGAAACCACAGGCAGCAGGCAAGGGAGGATGTTGTGGTTGGGTCACAGGTATAGATATATCCTTACCCTACTTGCACCTCCCTCGAGTTGCAGCACGACCTTGTTTACCCACGCTTGCACAAAGCAGCTCACAAGGTGTGCTGGCTGTGCAAAGAGAGGAGATGCCACAGAAAGCTGGAAATACACCAAAACCTCAGCATCTCTGCTCCACTGCTGCTTAATGCTCATCCCAGAGCAGGATGATAGGAGGGGAAATGTGGTCAGGTGTTGAGAGCTGACCACAGGCAGCTGCTGCCCAAGGTCAGTGTGAGTTTCAGCTCTCCACCAACAGGCAGCAAGGACTCATCAAGTGTTTTTTCCCACAGACTCCACCATCGCCCACGTTCGACGGGACAGGGTGAGTCATGGCACAGCTGTGCACATCTCCTTTCTGCACTCCTGCAGCCTGGTGCCCGCACATTGTGCAAGTCTCACAGTCAGCAGCTGAAGTAACAGGGTTTCTTTTCTCCCTAAAGCCTCGTCCCATGCAGCACATGAGAAACACCACGACATATGCCACGGTGACCTGCACCCAGATCCGATAGCGCTGCCACAGGGCAAGGGCACAGGAGCCTTGTCCACAGCTGCCTTTGCTTTCCTGCAGAGGGCTCCTGCAGCCATAACGTGGGGCTGGGGGTTGCACTTTGGTCTTCTTTGGGGTTTGTTATCACAGGGAAGGGCTGTGAGTGTCTAGCCAAGACGATATAGGACTCATACCTCCATCTACAATACATTAATACTTCCAAAATATATGAGCTATACCAAATCTTACTGTGAGTGTATTGATTTTTTCTCAACAAAAGAAAACCTCTCGCTGTGCTCAGTGGATGACATGTAAACCTAAATTGCATTATAATGTCATGGGGGTGTTATTCTACCCACCCACGGAGATGCCCATTTGGACCTACATGGACAGATATCACTGCAGGGATGTCCTCACATGTGTGTGTCAATCAGTGTGTGCACTGCAGATGTGGTTTTGCTGTGATGACAAATACATATCTCTGACTTTGTGTTCCTGATGACACCACCGTCTCATGCAGCCACACATGGAATAGGACGGAGCAGACAGACAGACACTGAGACACAAAGGGGTGGTAGTGTCCATCTGAAGGGATGTAAAGAGCTTTGCAGACAGACCTTGCCGAGAATTACACCAGATCCTTCCTGTTTGGGATGGCTTTATTCAGAGCTCACAGATCAGCACGGTGTTCCCCAGTGTTCTCTGCCTCTCTCAGAGAACCAGCTGCATTGCCTCTCCCTTGCTCATCTTTTAGCATGCAGTGGGTGTTGAGAGCAATTGGATTGAAAGTGCTGCAAAACACAAGGGAGAACAAGGAGTGGCCTTGCTCTCGCAGTGCCCTCCATGGGGAAATGCTGGGAGCATGGAAAGAGGGGGATTCAGCCAGAGCACAGCCACGTGAAGCTCCCAGGCTCCTGCCATCAGATGCACTTTTGGCTTGCATTTGCTCTCCAAAAGCCTGCCATCTCGCAATCATCACGTGCATGCTCAGCGTGGAAGGCTGTGCTTGGGCTGAACTCACCTTCATTCTGCCCATCTCATCCACATTGGCATCTGGAGGGAGAACCTGAGTTAGTGTCCAGCCACAGACAGCAGGCAGGGCTTCCCCATTCCCCACCACAGTTGCCCCCATGGTCACGGCTTGCCATGGCAAAGGCATCAGCACTTCACACAGTGCCTAGAGGAGAAGGGTGAAGAAGGGACTGGCACTTACAGAAATGGCTGGGGTCAGCAGAAGAGTCTTGAGCACTATCAGCACCACACAGAGGGATAGAGAGAGCAGAGAGAAAAGGTGCTAAATGTCCTCAGGAACATTTCCACAAAACCCTTATTTCTGGAGTTTGTCTGTGATGAGAAGAAGGGGAGGGCCCCGCCATGCCCACAACTCCCTCAGCACTGTAGGAGGTTTCTGGAGAGTGTGGAAGATAGCTTCCTGACACAGCTGGTTAGTGAGCCTACCTGGGGAGGTGCCCTGCTGGACCTTCTGTTCTCAAACAGAGAAGGGCTGGTGGGAGTTGTGGTGGTCGGCAGCTGTATTGGGCAAAGTGACCACGAAATGGTAGAGTTCCCTATTCTTGGCAAAGTCAGGAAGGGGATCAGCAAAACTGCAGTCATGGACTTATGGAGGGCTGACTGTGAGCTGTTCTGGACACTGGTTGGCAGAGTCCCTTGGGAGGTGGTTCTGAAGGGCAGAGGAGTCCAGGAAGGCTGGGCACTCTTCAAGAGGGAAATCTTACTGGCTAAGGAGTGGTCTGTCCCCACATGCCCAAAGACAAGGCGGTGCACAAGTAGCCCGGCCTGGCTGAACAGAGAGTTATGGCTTGAACTTAGGAGAAAAAAGAGGGTTTATAACCTGGGAATTATAACTTTTAATAATTATATTTATATATATATATATATATATCCACGCAATGTATCATTATATTATATCATATTACATTATATTACATTACATTGCATTATATCATTATATTAACATATAATATATACTATAATTATATATTATAATATTATATAATTAGTTTATTAATTAATCATATAATTATTTATAAATTATTAATTATAAATTAGTCTTGGAAGGAAAAGAGGTCATGCCTCTCGGGAGGACTATAAGGATGTTTTGAGGCTGTGCATGGACAAAATTAGAAAGGCCAAAGCTCATCTGGAGCTCAATCTGGCTACTGCCATTAAAGATAACAAAATAAATCTTTTTATAAGTACATCAACACAAAAAGGAGGACTAAGGAGAATCTTCATCCTTTACTGGATATAGGGGGGAAACTTAGTCACAAGAGATGAGGAAAAGGAAGAGGTGCTTAATACCTTCTTTACCTCAGTCTTTAGCGGCAATACCAGATGTTCTCTGGATACCCAGTACCCTGAGCTGGTGGAAGGGGATGGGGAGCACAATGTGGCCTTCATAATCCACGAGGAAATGGTTGGCGACCTGCTAAAGCCCTTGGATGTACGCAAGTCAATGAGGCCAGATGGGATCCACCCGAGGGTACTGAGAGAAGTGGCAGAGGAGCTGGCCAAGCCCCTATCCATCATTTATCAGCAGTCCTGGCTATCAGAGTAGGTCCCAGTCGACAGGCAGCTAGCAAACGTGACGCCCATCTACAAGAAAGGCTGGAGGGTAGGCCCAGGGAACTATAGGCCTGTCAGTTTGACCTCAGTACCAGGGAAGCTCATGGAGCAGATTATCTTGAGTGCCATCACATGGCACTTACAGTGCAACCAGGTGATCGGGCCCAGTCAGCATGGGTTTATGAAAGGCAGGTCCTGCTTGACGAACCTGATCTCCTTCTATGACAAAGTGACGCGCTGGGTGGATGAGGGCAAGGCTGTGTATGTGGGCTACCTTGACTTCAGCAAGGCTTTTGACACCATTTCCCACAGCATTCTCCTCAAGAACCTGGCTGCTCATGGCATGGACTGGCATATGCTTTTGTTGGGTTAGCCGGTTAGTTGGGTTAGTTAGTTTGATAGCCGGGCCCAAAGAGTTGTGGTGGATGGAGTCAAATCCAGTTGGAGGCTGGTCACTAGCGGTGTCCCACAGGGCTCAGTACTGGGGCCAGTTCTCTTTAGTATCTTTATCGATGATCTGGATGAGGGGATCGAGTGCACCCTCAGCAAGTTTGCAGATGACACCAAGTTATCTGCTTGAGGGTAGGAAGGCTCTGCAGGAGGATCTGGATAGGCTGCACCGATGGGCTGAGGCCAAGTGTATGAAATTCAACAAGGCCAAGTGCCGGGTCCTGTGCCTGGGGCGCAATAACCCCAAGCAGCACTACAGGCTGGGAGATGAGTGGTTGGAAAGCTGCCAGACAGAAAAGGACCTGGGAGTATTGGTTGATAGTTGTCCGAATATGAGCCAGCAGTGTGCTCAGGTGGCCAAGAAGGACAAAAGCATCCTGGCTTGTCTAAGAAGCAGTGTGGCAAGCAGGGCTAGGGAAGTTATTGTCTCCCTGAACTCGGCTCTGGTGAGGCTGCACCTCGAGTACTGTGTTCAGTTTTGGGCTCCTCACTACAAGAAGGAAATGGAGGTGCTCGAGAGAGTCTAGAGCAGAGCAACGAAGCTGGTGAGGGGTCTGGAGAACAAATCTTATGTGGAGCAGCTGAGGGAGCTGGGTTTGCTCAGCCTGGAGAAAAGGAGGTTCAGGGGCGACCTTATTGCTCTCTCTAGATACCTTAAAGGAGGTTGAAGCGAGGTGGGGATTGGTCTATTCTCCCATGTGCCTGGTGACAGGATGAGGAGGAATGGGCTAAAGTTGTGCCAGGGGACGTTTAGGTTGGATGTTAGGAAAAACTTTTTTACCAAAAGGGTTGTTAGGCATTGCAATGGGCTGCCCAGGAAAGTGGTTGAGTCCCCATCCCTGGAGATTTTTAAAATATGTTTAGATGTTGAGCTTAGAAATATGGTTTAGTGAAAGACTTGTTAGTGTTAGGACAGAGGTTGGACTAGGTGGTCTTGAAGATCTCTTCCAACCTAGACGATTCTGTGATTCTGTGATTTCATTACATTTCTCCCCACCCAGTTCTCCATCCTGTCTAGGTCTCGCTGGATGGCAGCACAGCAGTGCACAGCGTGCACAGCATGTCAGCCACTCCTCCCAGTTTAGTGTCATCAGCAAACTTGCTGACAGTGCACTCCATTCCCTCATCCAAGTCACCGATGATTATATTAACTAGTTGGATGCTCCCAGTACTTGAGGGACTCCACCAGATACAGGCCGCCAACTCGCCTCCACCCCATTGACCACAACCCTCTGGCTTCTTCCCTTCAGACAGATCACAGTCCACCTCACTACACAATCATCCTGACCACACTTCTTCAGTTTAGCTGCAAGGATGCTGTGGGAGATGGTGTCAAAGGCTTTACTGAAATCAAGATAGACCACATCCACTGCTTTAATATCATCTATCCCCCCAGTTATATCCTCATAAAAGGCTCTCAGTTCAGTCAAGCATGACTTCCCCTTGGTGAAGCCATGTTGACTCCCCCTAATGACACTTTTATCCTTGATATGCCTGGAGACAACGCCAAAGCTAAGTTGTTCCATGTTGTGGTTTAACCCGGCCGGCAGCTAAACACCACGCAGCCGTTCGCTCACCCTCCCCCCTCCCTCTCCGGGACGGGGGAGAGAAATGGAAAGTGAAGCCCGTGAGTTGAGATAAAGACAGTTTAATAAGACAGGAAAATAATAATAACAAAATAATAATAAAAATAATAACAATAATAATACAATGATGATAATAGGAAAGTAATAATAGTATGTACAAACAAGTGATGCACAATGCAATTGCTCACCACTCGCTGACCGATGCCCAGCCTAACCCCGAGCAGTCCGGCCCCTTCCCCCCCAGCTAGCCACCCCTATATATTGTTTAGCATGACGTCAGATGGTATGGAATACCCCTTTGGCTAGTTTGGGTCACCTGTCCTGGGTCTGTCCCCTCCCAGCTCTTACTGCACCCCCAGCCTGCCCGTTGGCAGGACAGAGCAAAAGGCTGAGATGTCCTTGGCTTAGTATAAGCACTGCTCTGCAACAATTAAAGCATCGGGGTGTTATCAGCACTCTTCTCATCCTAAGCCAAAACACAGCATTCCACCAGCTACTAGGAAGAAAATTAATTCTGTGCTAACTGAAACCAGGACATTCCATCAGCGTTGCAGGGATGGAGGTGAGGCTGACTGGTCTATAGTTACCTGGGTCATCCTTCTTTCCCTTTCTGAAGACTGG